GCCACGCGTGTCGCACGCCTCGCCACGTGTCGCACGCCTCGCCACACGTGTCGCACGCCTCGCCAGCACTGCATCAGCAACCTCCTGCGCTCACGAGGGAGCTGCAGGCCTAGGCCTGCGCTGTGAGGAACGGGAATCTGAGAAATGGGAGAGGAAATTTTAGTGTAAGAGAATCCTTTGACAGCGAAGAGACTTCTCAAGGACGCGCGAAGAAGCCTGATTTAAGACACTTTAAAACAAAATTGGCTTTAATGCCGGAAGGTTCGTAGGGGACGTTTCTCCTTTGCAGCAAAAAAAAGGCTGATTTGTTACAACTTCTCCCCTTTCTAATTTCATTAATTCCTCCAGTGTCAGAGCTAAGAAAGAGAAGACTTGTGAATCTATTCTGAAGCTGCAACTTTTTGCGTATGTTGGAACCACCAAAAAAAAAAGCATTTTTAAGAGCCAGTATAAGCCAAATTGAAGGGAAGTTTGGAGGATCTTTTGGGGAAGCAGAACCTTGCGAGGTCACCTGTATGTAGGCAGGTATATGAATAATTACATGTAACGCCAGGATTGCCTAGTAGTAGTAGAAGCACCAACTTTGGGAACAGAGGTAGCAAAATTGGGAACAATGAGGAAAAAGCGTTTATGGGCGAGTTGTTTATTTGGGGAAAAAACTGAGCAGGGAAAGGTTGGAACTATGGTGGCAAAAAGGAGGATCCAGAAACAAACATAACAGTTACTGATTGGTGTGGGAGGTCAAGTGAGGAGCAACAGAACCGTTAGTCAGTCATGGCCGTGTGTACGCTGACACCACAAGCGCTAAACCCTAACTTGGTAATTGTGTGTAGCTGATCAGAGCGCGAAGGACAGAATGGTAAATAATAGCGGTCTATTGTCGTAAGTTAATTAGTTCACAAATTGGCTCTTTGATTTATTAGATGGTCAGTAGGGTGTTGATTAGTCAATAAACAGCCTGGTCTCTTGTGGCAGTCACATCTCCAGTCTGCAACCCGAGGAGAGGGGAGCTGGACCCAAGACAAAGTCCCGCAGCTCACGGTTCGTCAGGGCAGGTGGATCTCCCGTGCTCCCTCCCTTCAGTCCCTTGAGAAGCTTTGGGCACTTCTGAACTGGCATCACATTTCCCATCCTAGAAACCTATTTTTGTGAGTCCTCTGGAAAGCTGCAAATGCACAGGCCCCCTCTTTGAAACTTCACAAGAATTCTTCAGGGAATTAACATGGGATTCAAGGACTTGGAAGGAACTTCCCTCTGTGGACATGCTACTCCTTAGGTACATCAACCTGACTCGGGCTGCACGCGAGGTACTCCTTTATGTCTTGAAAGGGGGAAGAAGGGAAGGCTGGAGGTTGCAGAAAGGATTTCCTCGCCTATCTGAGAGGAGTTAAAGGACATGTTGGCGGGGGGGGAGCAAGGAAGGGAACTGTCAGATGGGTTGGGGACAGCAGGAGGGTCCCTCATGGACCCAGCTGGCTTGCCACGCTGCTGCTGCACCAGGAAGGTCAGGCACGAGGCCCC